GACCTCTTCATATGCTACATCTTAAACTAAATTGAATGAGTGGAGGGGGAGACAAGTTCGTTGAACTAGTGAATCTAATAATATTATTACTTAGCAAAGTTTATCTAGGATTATGTGTTGGTAGGTACATTTGACGCACACGATTACTTTCAGTTTTAACCTTAGCGACATGCTTAATTAATAATCGAACATATATATATGTCTTTGTCTTCACAACCCATATCCTAAACTGAAAACTGAAAAGGTACTCTGGTCCACATGCTCAGATTGATTAGGTTCCGGGGATTGGTTCAAAACACTTGCACTTTATCATCTTCATCGTCGAATCTCCTAGAGGAATTAAACTCGTGTTGCATCCTCTCTTCCATCCAGTTGCTAATATCATCTGGCTTCCCTAGCTATTTTGCTCGAGCTCACACTGTAATCATCTTCACTAGTCATATAAGTACAAATACTTGGAGATGTCACGGCATGATTAACGCAGTTTTTAAAGGGTTTCAACTCCCTTGGATCCACCAATAACTTAAAACTCGGTAACAAAAGTTACCAAATAGTGATCCGTGTTCGTGGATTTTTAGTACTGTTTTACTTTCTTTTTTTTTAAATCATGCAAGACAAAAAAGAAAAAACTTTAAAAACCCATTTTGGGTTTCATGCATTAATGATGGTCTTACAAGCATGGAAACCATATCTCCCGTGATCTGGCTCGGTTCTTGGGCCGTCTTAGACCTGTTGAGACACTGGAACTCATGGCCCGTCCTAGAGTTCTTGTCCATGAATCCAAAACTCACATCGCTCTTCGCTTAGACGGTTCCATAAAATCACCTTTTCTCTTGGTCTTGGACCCGGAAGCTTCTTGATCTTCTGAGATCTTGAGGTCTTTGATTTTAAGGAGTACCTCTTCTTGGTTTATTACACGAGACCACGTATCGGTCTCTTTAGCCAACATCTTATCTTGTAAACATTTAGACTGCCTCGCTAGACGTCTCACTCTTCCTAAATCTGGTGACATTTGTTTAATCACAGCCGCTATAATCTTGTAAATACATGTTCATCTTTTATATTTATAAACCATGCTTATTGGTAGGATTGACAAAAGGAAAAAAAAAAAAATTCTTGTCACATTATGAATTAAGAAAAGGGAATAGCAAGTGGTGTCTGATATTAAACAAAGCTAATAGTAGCATCATGAGTTTTTCTAATTGTCTTTTGATTTTTGATCTCTTAGGTTAATATCTACAAGTAAGTTTACTAATTAAATCCTAAAGTCATTGCAAATGAACTTAGGCTAGATATATTATATGGTTTTTCAAGAGGTAAACTTTTGAGGTTATCCTAACCGATGTGATGACAAAAACTCTTAGATATTAAGATTTGAAAACCTATTTTTAGGTTAGAAAGAGATAGATTCAAATCCAAACTAAATCATTCATGTGCACGATAATTATGTAGCTAATAAACCCAAATTTATAATCAGAAACCATAAGCATAAACTACGGAAAATATAGGTAAGCTCTTAGTACATAAGCAAAAACTAAGGAAAATATAGGTAAAATCTTAGTAACTTTTTTTTACTAAGAAAATATAGGTAAAATCATAGTAGTTACTTGTTCAAATTCATCATAAAATTTGAATTCTCCAAGGCTAACAAAACCATCTTCATCTACATCAATGGCACCAACTATGTCAATACATTCAATAATGTGTGATATTACATAAAATCTCATGAATAATTAATGGAAACATTAAAACTTCACCAAAAATAATTATGGAAAACAATATTATACTTCTAGATATCTTTCTAAATAGCACAATAATTGATATGGTGTCTAAACAGTATGAAACATTCAGTCATGCTTTTTTAACATTTTTTCTAATCTTATTTTCATTTTTTTTTTAACACTGATTTATATATAACTTGAGGATGTGTTACAAGGGAGATATCTGAACACCATAACCTAAGTGTAAAGGTGTTTTAACCATGGAGGAAATCCCCTAGAGATATAGGATTGGAATCTATTTTGCTTGATGACACTTTCTGCTATCAGTTTGGTTCCTTTGATATCAGCTAGAGAGTGGAGTCGTAATTTCCAGATATTAAAACTCTGTAGCATTGGTAAGAGTTGAGAAGAGTAGAACTTCAATGCTGGCCAGGAAGAAGGTTTGGTTAAAGCGTTGATAAGGTCGCTATCTTCCCCGACAAACAAAAGTGAGTCATAGTTCATCGTCTTCAAACATTCCATTGCCCATTTCCAGCTTTGATAAGATGCTTCTATCTTGGTGTTGACTCCAGTAAAAGATTGTCGGCTGTGGAGAAGCACTTTCCCTTGTTGATCACGTAAACTCCAAGCTGCACCGCTCTGCTTTTTCTTTTTATCCCAGGAGGCTGCTATCTCACATTTTAGACAATCAGTAGGCGGAGGTTTCCAACCAAACAACATTTTCTTCTTCCTTTCAAGGTCTATTGTCTTTTCTGTTTTGTCCAAAGTAGTAACCTGAAACCAATGGTCTACTTCTTGATAGATGCTTCTAATGAATGCTTGTCCAATGTTGTATTGGTTTCGAAACAAGAAGGAGTTTCTGTTCTTCCAAATTGCCCAAAGAATCCAAGGACCACATCTTCTGATATTTTCTGGAATGTTTTGATCATTTCCTGTCTGTAAAACAAATGAAATGTTGGAGTAGACAGAATTAGGATCAAAACCAGAGATGGGGTGTGGAAAGTAGCTATCAGCCCAAGAACGTCTTGCTGCTGGGCAAGTGAATAGAACGTGGTTGATTGATTCTCCATTTTGTCCACATAGCTGGCACCTAGAATCGAGCTTCATACCTCGATCAATTAGACCGTCAGCAACTGATAATGCTCCGCTAATAGCCTTCCATAAGAATATTCTGATTTTTGGGGCTGTTTGCGTGGACCAAACGATATCTTTTAGACCATTAAGAGAAGGTTGCATGTTAGCAAAATTGGAAGCATTCGTTTGTGTCTCCCGCTCTGCCAACCAGTAGCCTGATTTCACAGAATAAACACCTGAACGCGTGTGGTTCCATATCTGATAGTCTGGAGAATTCGTCACCGATTTGATCTTTGTGATGATGGAAATATCTCTTGGATAGAAAAGTTCATTTAGTTTATCTTTGTTCCAGCCCGGAGGATCGTGTGTCAGCAGACTACTTACTTTAAGATCTAAGTCCACCAAGATGTTTTTCTAATCTTATTTTCAATTATTTGATTTTTTATCAACTTTTTTTATCAAAATTTTCAATTATTTGATAAAAACTAAAAATAATGTTTAAAAATGTATAATACGTACACTATTTTTGCAGGTTTAGATACTACAAAATGAATTCATTAATGAGAAATAAATCAAATTAAAATATTTTATTTATAAATTTCATAAGGAAAAAAGTTACATTCGTTTAAACTAAAATAAGATTACATATCAAATTAAAGATTGTATATAAATAAGAGTAATGGAGTTGCTATAAAAGGTGTGACGAAAGGCAAGTATGTTTTGAGCTACAATTCTCCTATATGCTTGTGCAATGAGCAGATTTCATTGGGGAGCTCAAAAACAAATGTAGCAAAGCACATTTCAAGGTATATGAGAATAGAAGTTATAGTAGCATTTGAGTCTCATCTATGGAGAGTTATGTTTCACCAAACTCACCAACATTCGTTGCTGCTATTGGCATAGACAATAAGAATTGTGGGAAGATATCAAATTGTATTCTCAGTAGAACCACCTCTTTTTCTCTCAATTAATATAATGAGTTTCAAATGACAATAAAAATTTTGCGTTTGTTGGAATTAACTTTTATATGTTTATGTTCATATTCTTAATTATAGAAATTATACTTCATTTGTTTCATTTTAATTCTTATTTTAGATTTTATTCATAGATATTGAAAAAACAAAATTTGTACATTTCCTAAATAAAAACATCATTATCTATATAAGTATCAGTATTTAAATTAATAGCCAATAAAAATAGGCTGAAAAACATAAAGAATTGCTCAGCAATTAGGGATTGGGTGAGATTCTTTTCACTTTTGTTTTGAAAATGTATTCACTTTAACGCATAATTGATGTGTGTTTCACTTTCATAGTACAAGAATTAGCACGATATGGAAAAATAATAAACAAATTACATGGAAAAGAAATAAAAACAAGCTCGTGCATGATGCCATGCACAGAATATTAAATGACAATATTTTTACTACCCTGTTTATTTGATAATGGTTTAGTGATGCATCCATGAATATGGTTTTCTTATACAAATCTGCTTTGACAACTAATTAAGACTGCAACTGGATTGTTATTTTTTGGAATGGAATGATATAATTAATGTGGAATAACTTATTCCATTGATTTCAGAAAAAAATTAACCATTTCACATAAATGGAATGGAATACTCATTCTACCAATTCCACAACAAAATAGTAAAATACAAAAAGAATAATCCTACCATAAATTTGGTTATGAATGAATGGAATGAATTCCATTCCATTTTTTTGCTGTATTCCATTCATACAATTCCATTTATTTTAATTCCATTAATTCCTAAATATTTTACCAGTTGCAGTCTAAGTAAAAGAGAAATCCTGCAAAAGAAAGGACTACAACAAATTTAATAACATTCTCTCCTCTACCATTTAACTAAAATGAAAATTCTATCATTCTTTAGGGTTTCAGTTACACAAGAATTTCAAGAACATGTAGACAAATAATAATAACAATTCTAAATATATGATCAATTTGTTAATTTTAGACCCAATTAGCAGTCTAGGGTAGCTTCCATCCCCCCCCCCTCAGAAAGTCTTCCCCATTTTCAAATACTTATTCTTGGCCCAGTAAACCATAACGGGCCTATAAATCTCATTGGGCTTCACCAATGTCTATAACTCAGTAAACAGTGTGGGGACACACGCACGTCACTCGAGTTTCACGCCCAATCATGATTCGAAACGCTCAACTACTCAAAAGAGAATCCAGATCCGGTAAAAAAAATATCCACACGGTTCCCGCCTCATCCAAATCAAAAACCCTAATTTCTCCCAGATCCTCCCAATCTCTCCATCCCCACTAAACCCAATTCACATTTCATCTTCCTCCTGATTCCACGTACGTATCAATTCTCAATTTCACTTAATTTCTCATTCGAATTCTAATTTTTTGAAAGTAATTTCTCTTTCCCTTTGTGAAGATGACTGAAGAAGATAGCGGCGAATCAGTACCCGGGAAGATCCGACCCGCTTTAAGCGATTTGACCAATAGGAAGAGAGGAGGAGCTTCGTCGGGCGAAGAGGAATCTTCGGGAGGACAATTCTCGAAGCGGCTGTGTGTAGTCGTAGACGACTTGGTTAAGCAACACGTGTCCTCCTCCGATTCGAAATGCAGCTCTGAGGAGGAGAAAGGATCTCGCGGGGAGGTTTCTAGTGGAGAAGATGCGAAACCGTTGAAAGAGATCTACTTTGAGCCCGGTGATAGAGACGGTGCGAGGGAGTTAAGTGGGAGTGATGTTGAGATGAGGAAGGAGTTTGGGAGATGTAAGAATGTGAGAGCTTTTGAGATGAGTAGATGTTCGAATGTTGATAAGGAAGAGGGTGTGGATGATGATGGTTTGATAAAGTCTTGTTCTTGTTCTTTTTGTCTTAAAGGTTAGGTGATATCTTGAGATGTTTTTTTATTACATAGTGTCTTGTCTTGATTTAAGTAAAAGTGGATTTTTTTTTTTTTTTCTTCAGCTGCTTATATCTGGTCGGATCTTCATTACCAGGACATTAAAGGTCGATTATCAGGTCAGTTTTATAAAGCTCTTGAGGGTATTCTTGTTAATATTTGTTACTCCCTCCGTTTCATATTAACTGAGGTTTTAGAGAATTTTTTCGTTACAAAATAAGTGAAATTTATTAATTTTATTATGTAATCTATTTTTCTATTGGTTGATATATGATTAGTTGTATAGTTAATTGTGTTTTTCTATGAAAAATATGCAAAATTAATGGTTTTCTTAATCCGTGTGTATTAACCTAACACGACACTTATAAAGAAACAGAGAGAGTATATGATTTGCTTTTTTTTCTGAATCAGCATTGAAGAAGAGTCAGAAAGTAGCTAGCAGTTTGATTCAAAGGAATGACAAAGAAAAAACTACTGGTTTTCATGGATTTGTAAGCTCTGTTGGTTCTGCAAAGCTGGAATCTGATCTCATGGGTCAGTGGAGGTCGCTGTTTCTTAGCATGGGTGATATTCTCGCTCATGAAAGCAACCACCTTGTAAGTGCTTTCACAAGCTTCTTAATATGTTTATCAAATGTCCTGTTGCTTTCTTTTCACATGAACCTGAGTGTTCTTCTGTGTGCGTGTGTGTGTTTTGTGGAACTCCAATCATGCAGCAAAATAGCTTTACGACAATGAAAGATTTGCGAGAAGATTGCAAGATTGATTTGGAGAGAGCAACCAAAACACCTCAGCACAAGACCTGATAAGTACTCTTCTCTACTTGGTGAAACACTGTATGGACTTGTAAGCTTTTCTGTAATTTTCGCAGCAGCTCGTGTGAAAATTATATACGTAATATCTGGATGTAATGTATAGATGCTTCAAAATTTCATTCCGTATGTGTAATTGACAAATGCTGTTTGTGTTAAGTTCTTTCCTTGAACTCTTTGTCTCTCATTGACATTGACTATTTTGTTTTTTTTTTGTTCTTGTTGCGACTTTGCGTCAGTCATATAAGGTAGCAATTGGTAAAGATAACAAACTCATTTTGTTACTATACAATTTTTTTCTTGTTAGATTAACAAATCATTTTTTACCCATTTTTTGGATAAATATTTTAGAATGTGCTGAAATAAAGCCTGAAAGTAATGTAGAATGTTTGACGTAGAATGCAAGTTAGGTCAATTTGAACAGTGTTAATTTATTTATGGGCTCTCTAGATATTGTCAACTGCAACTTGGCCCAATAGGTTTGGCTATGGGGCTAATTTTGGGTTGGAGATGAAAAATTTGCAAACACCTTAATTTACATGGAGATAAAAAAAAAATTAACGTGAACCTCATCACTATATATAGAATAAGTTTTGGACAAGTCATACATTTTCTTTCTAAATATTGACTAAACAGGCTATAGCCATAGGAAAAAAAAGGCAAAAGACAACCAGAAAACGAAAAATAAGGAAAAAATTCAAGAATTGTCAGACAAGAAAATAACAGAAGACAAACCCACCTCCAAAATTCTATTGACAATTTGAGAAGAGAAAACAAAATTTCATTCTTCTTCTTTGTGTTAATCATAACCTAGTTTGATCATAAACTTTGATCATAATGCCATTTTCTGTAAAGTTGTTGATTCAAGAAGAGAACACCCAACAAAAAAAAAAAACTCCCTCCATCTCCTCTCTTTTCTTAACAGTTCTGTCCTTCTGTTCTTCATAATACCATACATTTCTATCTTCCTATATCAACCATTTCCAGTGGTTTGATTGATTGTTCAGCGAGGAGTCTTGATCTGTCTAGCGGCCTAAAGAAATGGCAGAAAGTGAGGTGAAGAAAAAGTGGCGTTGGGGGTTGCTAGGTCTTGGGTTTGGTAGATGTGGCTTGTGCTCCAAGAAAACTCCAGATAAAAATGGAAGCCATAAAAGCACAATTAGTAGCAGCAACGCCTCCACAGCCTGCACTCCTAATATTCAGTTCACTAAATCTCCAGGTATCGAATTAAACGCCAAAAAGCTTCAAGATCACAAAGTTTCACCTGAGCCAATCCAGGAGGACCAGATGGCGCAAAGCCCTATTTCAAAACCCTCATTGAATCAAAACCCTAATAACCAAGATTTCGACAATAATGAGAATCAACAAGAGAGTAATAACAATCCAGAGCCGGTCCAACAACAAGCGAGGAAAGTGCCAAGGGAAGCTATCGGTTTATCCGGTGAGCTAGAGAGTATGATCATAGACAATCAGAAATCCAAAGGGATTACTGGCTCAATGGTTCGAGCATCTTCAAGCAATGTGATGTTGTTTGGTAATCTTGGGAACTTGAAACAGCCCGGGACAGCAGCGGTTGGGAACCAAACCAATGTTCAAGACAATGAAGAAAGACCAAAACCAACATTGGTTTCAGATAACCAAGAACAGCCAGGATCTTTGTGCAGGGAGGTGTCAACAAGAATGGATCCAGAAACGTTAAAGACAATGGGGAACGAAGATTACAAGAACGGGAACTACGTAGAGGCCTTAGCATTGTATGATGCGGCGATAGCTATTGATCCAAAAAAGGCAGCTTATCGTAGCAACAAAAGCGCTGCATTAGCAGCTTTAGGGAGGATCCTTGAAGCAGTGTTTGAATATAAAGAAGCAATACGAATGGAGCCTCGTTACCATAAAGCTCATCATCGGTTGGCTTACTTGTACCTCAGGTAATTAATCCCTCAAAACCCTAGCTTGTAAGTCAAGTAATCTCATTATTAACTTGAAACGAATCTTTAAAACGTTTCCGATGGGAGTAAGTATCTCACCTTAAAAAAAAAAGTAAATTAGAAAAACCGCAAAGAAAATGTAGTGAGGTTCTCAAATGAGAACCAGTGAACTCTTTAGACCATCTCCAACAAGGAGTTATTGCGACGTAATTCTTAGTGAAATATAAGAATTCGTCTCTTAACTTTTAACTAAAAAAACTAAGAGACGAATTTTTATATTCCACTAAGAATTCGCCGTAAGAAATCTTCATTGGGAAGTGTTTTTAGAACTTCTAGTGCTACATCTCTACTTATTATTTATTTATTGATGATTTTAACTTATTTTAGACTTTTAAATTAGTTATATAAACAAATTTTATATTAAAATAACAATATTAACTTGTTTATGTACTTGTTATGAGATACTAACTAATAATGTTGCTATAATAGGTTAGGAGAGGTGGAGAACTCGATATATCATTTCAAGCATTCCGGTTCAGAAGCAGACCAAGAAGACGTTTTGAAAGCCAAGACGGTACAGACACTTCTCAGCAAATGCACTGACGCTAAAAGACAGCGTGACTGGAACAATCTTATCAAAGAAACTGAAAACATCATAGCTTCAGGAGCCGATGCAGCTCCTCAAGTATATGCATTGCAAGCAGAGGCTTTTCTAAAGAGTTTAAGACATCAAGAGGCTGATGAAGCTATGTCTAGATGCCCGGTTCTAGACGTGGAAATGAGCATAAAATATTACGGACCGATCAGTTCCGCTGGTTTCTTGGTCGTATGGGCTCAGGTTCACATGTCTTCCGGCAGGTTAATTTGTTCTCTCAAGAGTACCTTTTACCGGTCATGTTTTGTGGTTTAACCGGTTTGTGTTAAAACCAGATTTGGAGAAGCGGTTGAGGCGATTCAACGAGCGAAGAAGCTGGACGGGAACAACAAGGAAGTAAGCATGGTTCTTCGGCGTGCGCAGGAGGTTATGGCTGCGAGAACTAGAGGCAACGATTTTTTTAAAGCTGGACGGTTTCAAGAAGCTAGTACAGCTTATGGTGAAGGGTTAGACCATGACTCAAGAAACTCAGTTTTGCTTTGTAACCGAGCAGCTTGTTTGTCCAAAATGGGTCAGTTCGATAGAGCCGTCGAGGATTGCACGGCTGCACTCACTGTCCGTCCTGCCTACGCCAAGGCTCGGTTGAGAAGAGCTGATTGTAACGCTAAGGTAGTGTATAAGTTAATGTTTTGAAATAAAGTTTGTGTTAGTAACATAAACATTAATATAAACATCATTGTTTTTGTGGTTGCAGCTTGGGAAATGGGAAGCGGCGATAGAGGACTACGGGATACTGAGCAAAGAAACACCAGAAGATGAGGAAGTAATCAGAGGATTGTTGGAGGCTCAGGAGCAGCTTGTAAAAGGCCATGAGATTGATCAGGAAGTCACGGACTAAGTCGCGTCTTGTTTTTTTTAATTTTTTTGGCCGTGAATTTTTTAACTTGTAACTCGTTGTAAGCTTGTAGGGTAGACGATCTATTTACCCACGAGAACTATCATATAGCATCAGATCCCCACCGAACTATGACCTTATGCTAGACTCCCACAAATTGAATATTGCAAACTTATTTCTCCCCGAATCAATACTTCAAAACCTAATTACCCACAGACAATGGTTTTAATTGGTTTTAGTTGGTTTATTATTAACCAAACATCTTAAAACCAAGTAAACTAAATCAAAATCCAATTAAATCGCCACA